GGATAGACAGATGCAAAAAAAAATTAAGTTGGATCCCTATCTCACACTACATACAAAAATTAACTCAAAACGGATCAAAGACCCAAAAGTAAGAGCTAAAACTATAATACTCTTATAGGAAAACATAGGTGTAAATCTCATGACATTAAATTAGGTAATGGTTTCTTAGATAAAGGCACAATAAGAAAAAATTAGATAAATTGGACTTCATAAAACTTAAAAAAAAGATTTTAAAAAATGTGTCAGACAGGAAGGGAGAAGGAGAAAGAGAGAGAGATAGAAACATCAATGATGAGAGAATCACTGATCGGCTGCCTTCTGCACGCCCCGAACTGGGGATCGAGCCTGCAACCCAGGCATGTGCCCTGGACTGGAATCGAACTGGGCACCCTTCAGTCTGCAGGCCGACGCTCTATCCACTGAGCAAACCCAGCCAGGGTTATAATTGCATATTTCATTGTTAGGTACTGTTGCTAATCTCTTACTGTGCTTAAGTTATAAATTATACTTTATCATAGGTATGTATGTATAGGGGAAAATTACATATATATAGGGGGGGGAGAGATTGGTACTATTCTCGGGGTAGGAGGGGTCTTGGAACCAATCTGTTGACTTTTTAAAAAATATATATTTTTTTATTGATTTCAGAAAGGAAGGGAGAGGGAGAGAGAGAGGCATCAATAATGAGAGAGAATCATTGATTGGCTGCCGCCACATGACCCCCACCAGGGATCAAGCCTGCAGCCTGGCATGTGCCCTGACTGGGATTTGAACTGTGACCTCTTGGTTCAGAGGTCGATGCTTAACCACTGAGCAACACCGGCCGGGCAAGATCTGTTCACTCTTTTGAAGAAGGTGGGACAGGGGGTGTGATGTGACAAGGCAGAGACTGGAAACCTCAGTGTGTGTGCATGTGTGCATGTGTCGTGTGGGTGTGTGTGTGAGAGAGAGAGAGTCTTGCGTGTCTTCTAGGAGGTGGGCACAGGGGAAGGTGCCGCTGGAACACAAGCGCTTGGGGACAGGTGGCGGAGTTAGGGCCTTGGTTGCAGTGATGAGAGTCGGGACATGCCGTGTGGGGCTGCATGTGGCCCTGGCAGCATTTGGGCCCCAGGCTGGGGCACAGAGGATGCTCTGAACTTTGACCTCCCTCCCCTCCATCCCTCCCAGGTCAGGAGCTGCAGGGGGAGCCCAGCCCCTGGGGCACAGGTGCTGACTGGGGGCCTCTTCCTCCCCACAGGGCCCCTGGAGCAGCCCGCCCTCACCATGGGGCTGGAGGCCCAGAGGCCGCCTGGGGCCGAGGCGGCCCCCGTGAGGGTGGCCCTGCGAGTCCGCCCGCTGCTGCCCAAGGAGCTGCTGCACGGGCACCAGAGCTGCCTGCGGGTGGAGCCGGAGCGCGGCCGGGTCACCCTGGGCCGGGACCGCAGCTTCGGCTTCCATGTGGTGCTGGACGAGGCGGCCGGGCAGGAGGCCGTGTACCAGGCCTGCGTGCAGCCCCTGCTGGAGGCCTTCTTCGAGGGGTTCAATGCCACCGTCTTCGCCTACGGTCAGACGGGCTCCGGGAAGACCTACACCATGGGGGAGGCCAGTGTGGGTGAGTGGCCTGCCTGTGGGGGAGGACTGGGGGGCTCAGTGGCTCCCGCGTTGGGTCCCCTGCCTCTTGCTGCTACTCCCTGTTGGAGGTGGGGCCTGGGGAGGGAGAGCAATGTCCTGAGCAGGTCTGCAGCCCAGGGTGGGGCCAGCCGTGTGGGGGGCTGGGC